ATTAATTTAAGTAAGTCAGATGCAATTCATATAGGAAAGCTGAAAGGCAGTACAGTTATTCCGCAAGATGCATTAGGGTTGAATTGGAAATCAAAAACGTTAAGGCTTTAGGAGTGGTTTTCTCATTGAACACAAAAATGCTTTACGAACTGAATTTTGTTCCCAGACTTGTCATTATAGAACAGATTTTAAATTGTTGGAGGCATAGAAGCCTATCCTTGTTGGGCAAAATTGCTGTTGTAAAGTCGCTTTTACTCCCCCAAATGTTATTTTTGTTTTCAGTATTATGCATTGACCTGCCAAACTCTTTCTTTAAAAAATTAAATGGTTTGCTTTTTAAATTCATTTGGAGCAATGGCAATGACAGAGTTAAGAGAGATATATTATGCAATGATTATGAAGAAGGGGGTCTAAGGATGATTAATCCTTTAGTTTTTGCACAAGCGCAGAAAGTTTTGTGGATGGCTAAACTCTTAGACGATAAATATGAAAGTTGTTGGAAAACAATAGAAATATATATTCTTTCTACCTTTTGTGATGATCATCTTGCCCTTTTAAGGCAGATGCCCCTGATTCGGTTTTGGCAAAACTTAAAAATTGCCAGTTAACAGCGTCTATTAAGACATGGTATTTATATAGGCAAGAGATGAAAAGAGAACTAGGTTTATGTCAGTTTCATTTACAAGATTTTATTTGGTGGAATAGAAATGTAAGATTGCAATATAGAACACATTTTTTCTATCCAATTTGGTATGAAAGGGGTATTCATTCCATTTTTCAATTACATAATGGTTTTGGTAACCCCAAAACGTTTGAAGACCTCGTAATTGAGTTTGACATTCCTATTAGAGACCAAAGAAAATATGACTCTCTCATGAATGGCATATTTTTGGAGTGGTTTGATAATTTCTTAATGTGGATGAGAATATATTTAATCAAATTTTTAAAGATCTATTAAGTCAAAAGAAAATGTCTAAGTATACATACAATATTTTGCTAAAGAAATATAGTTGTACTAATGCCAAAAGGGAGAGTAAATGGGAGGAACTCTTTGGCCATCAACCCAAAGAGAAGGATTGGTCGATTATTCATACGAGTAACTTTTGTTGCACAATTGAGACTCAGTTAAGGAGTTTTTATTTCAAAATTTTCCATAATGCTATTGGTTTTAATGCATTTTTGTTCAAGATTGGGAGAAAGGAGTCTGCTAATTGTTATTTTTGTTCAGATTTTCCAGAAACTTTAGATCACTTGTTTTGTGACTGTAGGAGAGTTGTACCACTGTGGGAAAAAATGGTGGATAAGATTAACACTGGCACTGATCACAGTTATAATCTGACTCTGTCAAAATTTAATTTTTTGTTTGGGATACAGTCAAGGGACAAATACGCCTCTTGTATAAATTTTCTCTGTTTATGTTTAAAATATTACATTTACTCATGTAGGTTTCAGGGAAAAGAACTTATTTTCGAAGCATTTGTTTCAACGGTAAAGTTCAAACAAAAAATAGAATATAAAATTGCCCAAAAGAAAAATAAGTTACAAGTCCATTTTAAGAAATGGTCTATCAAGTTTAACTGAAATTTAGGAGTAGTCTTGCAAAGCTCTGTTGTCATGAACATCTTCATTGGCTTTTTGAATTGTAAACTTGCCCTCTGGGAAAGTATATGAGTGTGAGTGTGTGTGTGTGTGTGTGTGTGTGTGTGTGCGTGTTTATGGGTGCATGAGTGCGTGCCTGTTTTGTAGTTTTAAGATGATATTATGTTTATATTGCTGCTTTTACTCTGTTAATGTTTCAGAAAAAAACAATAAAAACAGAAAGAAAAAAAAATAGCCTGCTGCAGTGCATTGCACTCCCAAACATGAATTATTTGTATCAAAGGCATGCATTAATACAAAGAGGGGATGAGTAGACAGCGAGACAGAGAGGCGGCGAGACAGAGAGGCAGCGAGACAGAGAGGCAGCGAGACAGAGAGGCAGCGAGAAAGAGAGACAACGAGACAAAGAGACAGAGAGAGAGAGGGAGAGGGGTATAGATAGAGACGGAGAGAGAGAGGGAGAGAGAGAGAGAGATTGTTGTGCTTGAAAGAAGGCTTAATAAGATGGAAGAACATAAGAAACAGAACGGAAATTTGAAGACAGAAGAGGAAGAAAAGAGAGGTCTAGATGAGGAGGGCGAGGAGAGTAAGGAAGGGAGTATAGAGAGAGACGTGATGATCGGAAAGAGAGGGAGAGGGAAAGAGAGATAGAAAACAAATAAGATGCGAGGGGAATGTTTATGCACGAAATTAATATCGCACTACTCCTGATCAACTTCATTTCTGTATCACCATGACAAAATTCAATGTTTCAATATTTCATATTTCTTTCCGCCAACTGACCCTGAGGCAACCTGTTTCTCATCGTCAAAATATTGTTTTCTGTAACAAGTAACCTCCTAAAATAATTTTGAATATAACAACTTCTAAAATAGCCTTTGACAACGAACTTGTGAGGGTGTGTGTTAGGAGGGGGGGGTAGAAGGGGGTACACTTATTTTTTTATATTTTTTAGTAAAGTACTATCTGTAACCACGTTTCATTTCACGTCATTGCAAAAAGACATTTGGCTCGTTCAAATGCACACCTCTCCTTTCCCGCCCCATTCCCGTACACACTCACACGTACACACAGACACAGACACCCACACACACATGCACACCACACACACGCACACACACAATATCTGTTCACGGTCGCTGAGTATTATTACGATTTGTTACCTTTTTCAAAACATAATCAATTCAATATAAATAAATGTTAACGCTGTATAACCTTATCGCATCGAAAATTGATTGGTTTGACCATTATTATGTCAAGTGGTCGCCATCGTAGTACCTGCTCAGCATTTCCATGGATAATCTAACGTCTTTCGCCCAATACGTCATATTTCTGCTTGGCGGTGTAAGATGTCTAGCTGTATTCCATTTTACTATGAGATATTAAAGACCCTATCTGAAGAAAACTCAACTTTATATGATTCAATGGAAATCTGAATGGACGTTGAAACAAAATATTAAATACTTTTCAGCATTGCACAAAAGCTAATTAAAGCCTTATTTTCCGCAGCCCTCGAATTTAAGGGGCAACAGGGGTCAAATTTGCCGCAGTTACGGTGACGACACAACATGTGGACCGGATCAGCTCGTATGTATATTAGGGACTTTAAGATTTGCGTGGACTGATACGTGTGACGTCAATTAAAGGCAGTGCATTAAAAGGACATCGATCGTAGCAATCCACGTTGTCGTTGTGCAAATCTAAAAGTACCTAATATATGTATATATATATATATATATATATATAGCTGGAGCATGAGCGATGCTTAATTAATAATAAGTCGCTGTGAATATGCGTACTTCACATATGATTGTCATCAAGTCGATAACTTGTTTTTAGGTCAAAAGCTTTCGATTTTCAAAGAGCTATTACTCCTCTAACAGACATTAAAATACAATGTAACTGATGTTGTTGTCATCTATGGCTGATTAGTTTGCAGTTGATCATCCAATTCGCTTTGTACTTACGACATGGTCTTTTAAATTCAGTAATTATCCCAATGAGATAAGGGGCAAACCTTAATTTGAAGCAGTACCCATGTAATTTTTAATGTGGGCTTGATAACCTCCCTTTTCAATTACATGGTGTATGTTTTTTCTCATCATGTTCACGGTCGCTCTACAGGTTGCTAACTAACTATGTAATATATATATATATATATATATATATATATATATATATATATATATATATATATATAAACCAAAAGGAATAAATTCCTTTAATACTTTAGGTCCTATATATAGGTGAGGGTAAACACCAGGAGCGCTTCAAAGATTCATAACATTTCCCATTTCCCCCTTTCCATTTCTCTACCCCTCGCTCTCCCTCCTCTTTTCTCTCTTACTCTCTCTCTCTCTCACTCCCTTTCTCCGTACTCCCCTCTCTCTTTCTTTCTCCCTCTCTCTACCTCTCCCTCCCCTCCTTTCTCTACCTTTCTTTCTCTTTCTTTCTCTCTCTCTCTCTCTCTTCCTCCCCCTTCACCTTTATCTCTTTCTTTATCTCCCTCTCACTAACTTCCTCACAAATTCAACTCGGTTAATCTCTACCCCACCCTACCCCTTTCTAACTCTCTCCCTGTCTCTTTCTCTCTTTTTCTCTGTCTCTCCTTTCCGCCCCTCTCTTTTATTCTCTATCCACTCTATTTTACAGTAATTTATCAATCCTGCTCAAATGGATGTTTAAATATATATTTAGAATGCAAATGTTGCTTTGTTGGGCAAGCACAAAACCATATATATGTATCCATATGTACTTTGCGTTCCTGAAAAAATGAAACTGAAAATCAAATGATTACCCGACCCAAGTAATGCAAAGTTTTGGGAATTTTTGAAAATTGGATGGATAGTAATTATTTACAATTTGGATACATTTGGATGCCCCTGTGGATGTATTAAAAGCACTAACAAATTTAGCCCCTAAAACACTTCTGCTTTCGAGAAATTGAATAACCAAAGATCTACCGGTGTTCCCAGTAAATTTCAAATATTTCAGATAGCGCCTATGGCCATTCGATCAGATCAGTTTTTCCCAATTTGTATCATTAACAATGATCCGTTTTCACTTTCAGATTATACTTAATTGTACATCTAGCATTGAAGTCACTATCACTATCTAAGCACCACTATCTCTCATCTGAACAATGTTACCAAGTCCCTTTTCCCGAACAAACATTCTGTCTGATATAATATTGAATGAATAAAGAATGTAACGAACAAAATACATGAGCGGCTATATACAGTATTCACTCGTCGTCCAGACTATTGGTTCTAAACAACACAGCCTGCACATGAGATTCATCCCTACGTTCGAGATGATTGGTCGGTAGCTTATGTTGTGGGTGTTGTTGCAGCGCCGCCCAACATTGATTCTGAGACGCCAGCCAACATGCGCACGGTGAGTGGTGGAAGACTGGTTTGCTGATCAGTATCAGTTTGCATTCCTCGGGCTTGGACTTGTGTTCTTTGCATACTTTAGTGATCCTCAAATTTTAGACGAACTGGTTGTTATCAAACACCTCTAGAAGGTAAGACACCTAACCTTCTTAATATTATAATGCTATTCGGAAGAATTTCTTTCATGATATCCTATATATAATATTATTTGTGCAAAGATTTTAAGCGGTATTGGTGTCATAACATGATTAACATAAATTCGACCTCAAACTATACTCATCACTATCTATAATAATATTACCTTGCCTCATTTATTGTATTGTATTATTTTCTGGGGCTATTCATATAAAACCAACCTCCTCGGGTTGAAATTACTACAAAGAAAGTACTTAGACATATATCAAACTCTCACTTTCGAAGTCCAAATGGACCTTTATTTCGTCATCTGCATATTTTGCCTGCTACTGACAGTTTGGGTTACATTTGTGTATAGATATAATCTTGGTCTACTGCCATTTTTTTCAAACTACATGCTTACTTTAAATTTCTCTTTTCATTTATGACACACGACAAAGTCATCCGTTTTTATCAAACACTATGGGCTTAAATTCTTTTCGTGTCAATACATTAAAGTGACTCGGTAACATTGTCTCAGATTCTGAAACAAACCCTGGGTTTAGCTCATGCTGCAATGATAATTATAAACCTTTAGACCAGTCAGGAATCCCACGACTTGTACAAGCCCATCGCCTGTCCGATTATCAAGAAAAATATAATTGGAAATCGAAATCAAATTTAGTTTCTCGAACGGTTTGTATATTAAACACTACAGTCTATCGGGGGAAATAAGTATGTTAAAAACTGGTAATTCAAACAAAATTGTTTAAAGCACTTCATGATCATTTTGAAACGCAACCTTTGTAGGGCTTTAACATATTACAGACACTGATAACACGTGTCTTTAAATCATGAGATGAACCGGTACTGAATATTCGGGGTAGTACTACGTTTTCTCTGCTGTAAATCTCTTTCGACAAGATTGTAGTACATACTGGCGGAGTTACCTTTGTTTAATTTTGTTGACGTGGCTGATAGATTCTTACCTTCAACACTCCGTGGTCATGATTAGCATTTATATTTAAGTCCCTTTCTGTTTTAATTCTTCTTTGTTTTCTACTACTTACTCTTTTTCATCTTCTTTTTTCCTTTTAGCTGTATGTGTGAAAATGTATTTATGTGTTTGTATGTTGATGATTAAATATTCGTATTATTAGATATGTATTTTATGCATGTATAATTTGCTCAAGGGGCCCTGTTTACAAGCTCTTGCTTTTTTAGGGCTCCTAACCTTTATTACTTTGTATAAGATCACGTTTTATAGTTGAATAAATTAAATGGTTGAATAAATGAAATGAAATGAAATGGAAAATGAATGTATCATTGTCTTACGGTGAGTTTCTTTTGGCACTAAGATCTTCTGTCATTACTCCGTTATTGAATACATTTTAATCATTGACCAATTTCTAATACACAAATTTCTAGAACAATTTATGGAAAAAGCTTGTTCTAATCAGGTTTCCAAATCTGTCAATCACATTTATTTTCTTGATCCAATGCACTCCTTTCACTGAGTCGCACCTAAGTATTGACTAGGATGCACTTATTCGTCTGCAGAATGACAGATTTTGTGCCACTAATAACAGTCAATTTGTCTTCCCATGAATGCTTGACCTTTTTTTTGCATTCGACCTGGTGGACCATACAACTCTCTCACAAGGGCAGGTCAATCGCTTTTTTTTTGATAATTTCCTTTTTTGGTTGCAGTGAGACCTTAGCAACAGGTCGTCGAGTAAGGTCCATTTTAAATTAATACAGGATTTTGTAACCAGCAGTACCGTATTTTATGGGATTGTCCCGTATGTCGACCAATTGTCAGCATCCCGTATCGAACCTCCGCGAGGTATAGTTCGTCCCGTGTTAGCCTAATGCTGATTGGAAATGGATAGTAGTTACATGCCAAACTGTAGACCTACAACACTGCACGAACAAGCGGAACAGATTCTTAATTTGTGTTCGCTTGCTTCCCTCACTCGCTATTAATGTTTTAGAAAATGGAAACGAATAGGGTATCATTACATAAAGAACGATTTTTCTTTATCATGAAATGGTTTCAACCTCAGACTGATCATGATATTTGTAACATAAGCTACCACAGTTTAGTACGTTGCTTTTGTTAACCAATGACTGCTTCCTGAAACGCTTTATAACTTTTAAGCCAGTGTCACCTTTAATGCTGATATCTACTATTAAGTTTGAAACGAAATTAGTGCAGTGCCTCAAATCTGTTAATAAATAAAAAGGTGGCGACTTTCGAAAATCAGTTCATTTTAAATATTGTGATCATATTTTCCAGTCTCACCTCACCCCATAAAACTATGACACCTTGTAAATTACATCGATTACACCATTTTCAGTTCATGTAGGATCTTTGGGATTGCCTCTGGTGGAGGAAGGACGCCCTCAAGCATGGGGTATATACTAAAGCTACATGTAATTGCAGCCATCGTTGTAATAGTGAATGGAGTTCAGACAGTCAGTGTATCAGGTAAGACCACCAACCCTATCTCCCCCTACTTACTGCCAGTTGTAATCTTTGGGCCCGTTTTCGCTTACGTATCATCTTGCTACGTATTCATTTCAAGAGCGGCAATCCTAATGTTTTAATTATGTAACGTTTAGACCTTATCCTGTTTTTCTCGAGACACACCTGCATGTCAAGAAGATTCTACTGGAGTGAACTACAGGGGAAACCTATCTCAGACAATCAACGGTCATAATTGTCAAGCATGGACCTCTCAGGATCCCCACCAACACTTTTATACTCCAGCTGACTTTCCTAACGCGGGACTAGACGACAACTATTGCAGGAGCCCAGATAATGATGACACTGCTTGGTGTTACACCACCAATCATGGGATAATATGGGAGTATTGTGATGTAGGTTTCCTCGACCCAAGATGCAAAGGTAGCGTTGTAGTGTTAAAATGTGAGCAAAGCGCTGCTCAAAATCAATTAATTTTCAATTTAATTCAATTCAGTTCAATTATTCACTCAATATATAAAATACATATACATAAATTTGCGTATGAACGCATGTGATACATATTAAAAGATGGACATATTCAAATCAGGAGTTGGAACCACAAGTAACATAAATTGAGTGGGGATCAGATTAAAGATCTGTTTAAAGATTTTATGTGCTCGACCCCATTGTGATGTATAAATTGCATTAAATATTTGTGCATGTACAACTCATTATTATATTAGACCATTTTGTTCGGTAACCAATATCCTACGTGAAATGAGCTTTCGAGAACAATGCTGGCACCCAATGGCCAGTGTTGCTCCTTCTCTCTATTAAAATGTATTGGTTGTTTTTCATGAGGATTTCATTTAAACGTTCATTTTTCTATCTATTTGTTCATTCATTAATTCCTACCGTTTATTCTTTAACATCTATTCTATGTACTTATAAATTCGTTTAAATATGTGTTTATCTATCAATGTATTTATAAATTTATTCATTCTTTAACTCAATTCCATTATAGCATTACATGACGTAAATGACGTCTGTCTTCATATAACCACGATGTCATGTCCTTTGATCACCTTGGAGAGCGGTGAGACTGTACAATTGATCCCGAAACCCATGCAATCCGATCTAGACTGGTTAATATCCGACCTCCCAGCAGACCTCCAGATTCCTGATGATGTCCAGCGTTACTATTGCACCGAACCAGGTAGTATTTGCATGCAAAATCCCCGAAATGTGTGTAATTCTGAAAATGAAAAAGTCTCGTTAATATATGAAGGTCCATAATTCCGATAATCAATATATTGTTCTACGTCATTTTCGGAATTAAGAATCCAATTTAATTTTCGGAAATATGAGCCTTGGGAATTATAAGCCTTTGGAATTACAAACCTTCGGAAAATGACATGAAGCCGAAAAATTACGCTACAGCCAAAAAAAATGCATTTGTTTCAATTCATATTTATATGGCACTGAAAAAGAACCATGTTATTATGACATTGATCACAACTTGTTGATTACACTATTACCGTGACCAGGCATTATATAATTATACAAATGTCATTCATTCAATATAATTACAATTTTATGTTCAATAATAGGCGGTGTCGTGATAATTATAGTGGTTAATTCAATTAACTCTCAAACCAACCGTAGAGGGTTCGAGACCCAGCCTGGCACTCAATTTTCCTTTGGCAAAGCGTACTTCCCTCTCCATCCAGATGTAACATTTTGGGTAGTCTTTTGCAACGAAGAATAGTATTATTGCTAAAGAGGCTCCTGGATTAACAATAAATAGTTCCGATATCACCAAACAGTTAAATTTCTTGCCTTCCGGTTTCGTTTTTTCGTGCCATACCATTTTTATAAAGCTTCCCCCGTTCAACTTGCCTTTTGCAAACGTTTGACAATTCTTTTTTCACAAAATGTTTGATGCAAACTAGAGGCATTTCAACTTAAACTTTCAGATGAACATGTGAGAAAAGAAAGAAAGAAAAGTGTGATTTTAATTATCAAGTAACAGTTGACTTCATAATCTATAGACGTGATAAACCAAGCAGTTTGTACTATGAAATTGTTTTCTTATAGAAAACTGAATAAAACATTGTTTGGAACTTACTTTGAATATTTTATTGAAGGGGCATTCTGACTGTATAGGTGTCAGAATCTGACACCTATACGCTAGGTGTGTACAGGCAGAGTAGCACATTGAGTAAGCCTGCCTTAAACCCCGCCACATCCCCTCTACAATGTCAATGTTAAAGAAAAATATCCAGTACAGGATGAAATACCACATCTAACATTGTATCGAATTTGATTAGATATACACAGGCCGCCTTTGATGTATCGTACGGAGAACCGGGTAGAAATTTAAAATAAGTAAGGGAAACAATAAATAATAAATCATGATTCAGACGAACATAGAAAGTCGACTGTAATTCAAATATAATCAGCAAAAGGGTTGAGGAAAAAAACTTCGCTGTATGCAAAGCAATTGATCGGGCTGGCTGAATTTCATTCCCATTTTTATTGGAGCATATGTTGCGTAATACAAAACCGCCCATATATGACGAATGTACACGTAAAGGGCGGTGAATCCATTTAACTGTGATATATGATGTATAAATGTAATTTACTAAAGTGTATTGTGCTACCTACACGTCCCTGCGGCGCTAGTCGTTCTACAAAGGGGGCTTGAGGGCTCAATGCTGATGTGGAATTAATAAATGTTAAATATACTATGTCCCTTGTGCAGCCAACATCAAATTGTGTAGAACTTTGCAGGAATTATGAATATGTCATGTATGTCTATGAAATTTAAACATTAGCAGTGTCCTAATATTCAAATTATGCAAGGAAACCCGTTTACTTGCTAGACTTCACTGTCAGACACTAGTGAGTGACTGACTGTTTTTTTTTTTCATCTGTGGTAATAACATACATAAAATGAGCTATAAAGGGTACACGAGCATTTTTCTACATCAATAACCCACTTCTTGTAATGGCCAACATTAAACTGATTGAATCTTTGCGCAGCATAAAACGTACGACCATTCGGTTCAATGGTCTGAAAAATCAGTTATTTTATTTTATCGTTATTTTCCCACTTTATATATATATGGGGGGGGGGGGAGTTCTAAATGAGTATTGTCTTTTAAATTCCGTTGAAATTTAACCTTTTCATTTGTTTGCCTGCAAATGGGACATAGTACCATTAACCACCATTTCATATCATACCGTAATCAGCAAGGAAGGATCACGTATGAGTCAGCAGGTAGCATAATTAGCAATTTGTTTTAAAGGCACATGCCATTTTATTTCAGGAAATGAAGTGAGGCACTTGAAGAAATGCCATTTGGCCATACACTTGTGATCCTTACTGCGATTCCCCGTTATATCAATCATGTAGTGTTATTATGTAGTATAATGGACAGTGAAAAAGCTAAGTTTAATTTAGGCGTCAGATATAATACGAGCTAGTTTTAAATATATATGTATAATTAAATCTTCCTAATCTACGATCCCAACAATTTTAACGTAAAAACGTGGCTTCTATAATGTCTACATAGAAGAAATGTTGACGTCTAAAACCAATCCATGCAGAACCAGAACGAAATGATTAAATTAACATTATACTATTATGGCAACGTTGACGGTCGTTTAGCATAATAGATAAAATGTATATACTAATTAGGCGACACGGACCGCAGTATCAAATGAGTTGCCCCTCTCACATGTTAAAAGTGTTAATTTAGTTAATTAAACAGGATAATATCTCAGGGCTGCTGTTGAATAAACGGGAACGGAAGCGTTATGATGTGTGGCACAGGGCATGCATATCCATCAAAAACATAATTAGGCATCCAGTGGTGTAGCATGGATCGAGATATAGAAGGGGCACTAAGGGGAGGGGGGGGGGATAAACTCACCCGGTGGATGAAGAGCAATTTGAGGTCTTTAATCATAATGATGGGCGTCTGGTTGGTTGATATATCTACTCTTTACTCGTTTCCTCTCTCCTTTCTCTTGTTTTCTTTCTCCCCCTTCTTTTTAACCCTTCTTATTTTTATTCTGCCCTTTTACTAAGGGGCAACGTGCCCCCTGTGTCACCCTATAGGTACTACACTCAGGCTCTGTTCTAGATGAAAACCAGCTTTGGGGGGAAGGGGGTGGGTGGTTGTAATTTCCTTTTCTCTTATGGTGACCATGAGGTAGGAAGGGAGTGGAGATGGTGCTCATTGTGCGTGAATGAATCCGATGACCGGGGTAATAATATTTGTAAAATGCTTAGAGACGAAATACCCTTTGATTCTTTGACTTTCTCCATGATGTCTTTAACCTTTTGTTTTCTGGCGTATGACTTTGTGGTTGATTTTGTCTCGCAGAGATAAATGCGACATCTTTCTCTCCATAGCTCGTTAAGTAGTCACAAGCTTCTGTTCTAGATCCTTTGTCAATGACCATGTTTCTGATCCATATGTGATAGTTGTTAGAATGCATTGGTTGAACATTCTTATTCTTAGTGACATGGGTATGTTTTTATCAGTCAACATGTCTTTGTATCTTCCAAAGTTCATCCATCCTGCTTTTACTCTCATTATAACTTCTTATTTTGTGGTGTCCTCCATTTTCAAAGTTTGTCACAGATACTTGTAACTGCTCACTCTCTCTAACGTTCGACCTTCTATTTAGATGTTTTCATCTGTGTCATAGTTAGTCATATATTTAGTTTTCTCTTTGTGCATAGTTAGGCCAAAACGTTAGCTCTGTTGAGACCTGTCAGCTGGTCTTCCAAGTCTTTGGTTGATGTTGAGATCAAGGCCACATCATCAGCGAATCTTAGATCATTAAGTATTTCCCTATCAATATTTATTCCTCCATTTAAATGCGACTTTTTAAATACTTCCTCTATAGTAGCTGTGAATATATTTGGAGATAATGTGTCTCCCTGTCGGACTCCCCTCTCGATCTTGACCTCCCTTGATACATCATTATCAATGTGAATTCTGGCTACTGCGTTGGTGTAAATATCTTCCAGGATGCGCACATACCCTTCTTCAATGTTAATCTTTCGTAGGGCATCAAACATGTCTGTGTGTTCGATGGAATCAAACGCCTTCTGGTAGTCTACGAATCCGAGGCATAGTTGAAGTTGGTACTCGTTTGCCTTCTCAATGAGTTGATTTATAGCTTGTAGGTGGTCTGTTGTTGAGAATCCAGCTCTAAACCCTGCTTGTTCTCTGGGTTGATTTGTGTCCAATATATATTTGATTCTATTTTGGATTACTTTGGTGAAGATCTTGTACAGATAAGATAGAAGGCTGATAGGGCGATAGTTTTTTACATCAGCTTTGTCACTTTTCTTGTATAAAATAATTATTTTTGCCTCTTTCCAAGTGGTTGGAATCTGTTGCTTTTCCAATATCTAGTTGAATAGTTTCATTAACTGTGTGATTGTCTCCTCCCCTCCATGTTTGATAATATCACTTGTTATTTCTTTATTTCCCGGTGCCTTGTTGTCCTTCATACTGTTTACAGCTTCCTCAACTTCTCTCTGTAGTATTGGTGGTATGTCTGATTTTCTGGATGAGGTATCTATATGATCTTTCGGTTGTTTTTTCGTTGAACCATAAAGCTCCTGGTAGAAATCGGCGCATATTTCTAGTATCTCCGATCTCTCAGAAGTTATATTTCCATCTTTTTGCTTCAATTTGCTCATTCTAGACTTTTTGCTTGCCATCTTTTGTATTGTTTTTGGTCCCCTTCCGCTTTCTAGAGTTTCTAAAATGAGTTTAGAAGTTTTTCGTCTGTTCCTTTGGCGTCGTTTCTTTTTCACCAATTTGACTATTTCTACATACTCCACTTTTTCTGTTGTTGTCTTGGATTCTTTCAGTCGTATTTCCTTTCTTCTTTGATCTAGTTCCTCTATTTCTTTGTCTTCTTCCGATCTTACTATCTTTCTTTTCTCAGTTGGGGCTACAGATTTGGCTTCTTCTAGCATTGCTGATGTCACCATATCGCATCGCTCATCAATATCCATATCCACCAACTCTAATCCATCAAATCGGTTGGGAAGCTTTAGATGGAATTCTTCTTTCTTTTCCTTCAGCTTCATGATGTTAATCCGTGTCTTCCTATTATTTTGAATGAATCTAAGCCTGGCTAGTTTCTTGTTGATGCTGATATTGACTATGACCATTCTATGATCACTTGCAATATCTACATTGGTGATGACTTCACAGTTCTTGACTATCCCTCGCTGGTTACTTAGTATAAACATTTATCTGTTTTTTAGTAACTCCATTTGGACTCTCCCAGGTCCAGTAACGACTCGTGTGTTTCTTAAAGTATGTATTGGTCACTTTAAGTTTATGTTCCATTGCGAATTCTATCATCCTTTCACCTCTCCTGTTTCTTTCTCCGTAGCTGAATGATCCCATGGTATTTTCTTCCTCTTTTTCACGTTGTCCGATTTTCGCGTTGAAGTCACCCATAAGTACTGTGTAGGTACCCGAATTGTCTGTAATGGCCTTATTGATATCTTCATAGAATTCCTCCACTGTTATATCATCATAATCACTTGTGGGTGCATAGACTTGTATGATGCACATTTCATCCTTTCCCGTCAATT